AATACACTAAAGTCATAATTATTTGCCACTAACATCACCAATTCTCTTGCCAAAAAAATAGTATGACAACTAAGAATTAAATCTATGCTGAGATGACAGGGAGACTTTCATGTACAACTTAGTATCTTCTGAAAATTGAACAATGCAAATAGATGTTGTAGTTTTTTTTTTCATTTACAAAGAGCCTTTTTTTTTCCCCAATTATAGTTGACATTCAATATTATATTAGTTTCAGGCATTTTCCTGCTATTAGGTTATTTTAGTTTATTGTTAACATGTCAACAGAATTATCTTTATATATATATATATATATATATATATATATTTTTTTTTTTTTTTTTTTTTTAATACACACCTGAGGATATTTTTCCATTGATTTTCAGATAGAGTAGGAGGGAAAGAGAGACCACTGATAAAAGAGAAACATTGACGTTAGAGAGACACATGGATTGGCTGCCTCCTGCACGACCCCAACCAGGGCTGGGGACAAACTGCAACAGAAGTAGGTGTCCTTGACCAGAATCGAACCCACAACTCTTTGGTCCCCGGGTCGTCACTCTAACTGCTGAACCAAACCAGCCAGGGCTGTAAGCAGAATTTTAAATCTAGGACAAAGACTTCCCTGTGGAAATTGAAGGGCTAGGACAGTGAACTGCTCGTTGTCATGCGTCCTGCTTGCAGCAGGAGAGTTCTGCAGTTTGTTCCCAAGACAGGGTTTTTCCCTTTAATCCTTCCCCTGACTATACCAATTTGTATTACCCATTGCCTCATCCAACAGCCTCCAAGCACTCTGCAAACAAGCATTCATCTCTGTGAAGAGGAAGGCAAGCATCAGCACAAGGCAAACACTGTCCAAGCATCAGCAGGATGAGGAACAGGGATGGAGGACTTGTCCAGCATGAAGAAATGAGAGATTAGGCAAGCAGGGGGCCTGGCCGAGCCCTTCCCAGCCGGCTCACTCACATGGGAGCACCCAAACCATTCCTCTCAGAACCTGCTGGGTGTTTCAGTGCATTTCAGGAACCTACTCTCAGTTTTGGTTATGCAATTAGATGTACAAAGGAAACAGCTTCTTGTAAAGGGGCCAGGGTATTGTTTTTGTTTGTTTGTTTTTTGCCATAGATAGAAGGAGACATGTTTAGTTTTATGTTCCTCAAACCCAAAACTTGGAAAGCCCTGTGTGGGACAGCCAGAGAACCCCAAAGTGGTCAATAGCTTCTTTGTCCTTTCTCAACTTAATTTAAAAACTTTTCACGAAGATGTACTTTTGTTAGTCACATATCAGAAACTTGATATTACTCTTACTATCTAACACCGTTACAAATTAATTTCTTTAAATTAGAAAAGGAAAAAAAACTTTGGGTTAATAAGAATGGGGGGAATCACTAGACACGGCATGAAACACCTGCTAGAATATATGCTTCAGTCATAACAGTCCCTGCTGTTCTGCAGCACTCAGCACTGAGTCACTGATTCTCAGTATGAGGAACATCAAACGTTTCAGAAAGCAAAACCTGCATCAGTGATGGGAAATGTGAATGACTGGGAGAAAAGGGATTGAAAGCTACTAACATAGAAGATGCCATTTTTTTAAAGTTTATTTATTTATAATCATTCTTTCTCCTTTAAATATGTTTTTATTGATTTTTTTTTTTATTAGAGAAATAGAAACGTTGATATAAGAGAGAAACAGGGATCAGCTGCCTACTGCACAACCCCGATTGGGGATCAAGCCTACAACCCAGGCATGTGCCCCAACCAGGAATGGAACTGGGACCTCTCAGTCCATGGGACTGGCCCTCAATCCACCGAGGGCACCAGCTAGGCAAAGATGCTTTTAAACTACATTTGTTTAGTGTCAGAAAAAACAACTGGATTTAAATTCTAGTCCTAGCACCCACTCATTGTTTTGGTGAGTCTGGTATCTTCACCTCTCTGAGACTCTTCTATAAAATGGAGATAACAATTAAACTAACAGAGTCTTTGTTAGGTTAGGAAAGGAAGCATTTAAATTCCTGGAAAAAAAAAAAAAATGCAACAGGCACTTAAGCTGGCTCTCTTCTGTTTTCATATTTTAAAAAATAGGGAGGCCCTGGCTGGGTAGCTCAGTTGGTTAGAGCATTGTTCCAATATACCAAGGATTCGGATTCGATCTCCGGTCAGGGACCATACAAGAATCAACCAATTAATGCATAAGTAAGTTGAACAACAAACCAATGTATGTGTCTCTCTCTCTTCCCCTTTCTCTCTCTCACACATCAATTTTTAAAAAAAGAAAACAATTAGCCTTGGCCGTTTTGGCTCAGCAGTTAGAGCGTCAGCCTGCAGTCCAGAGAGACCTGGGTTTGGTTCCCACTAAGCGCACATACCTCGGCTGCAGTTTGTCCCCGGCTCTGGTTGGTCATGCGGGTGGCAACCACTCGATGTGTCCCTTTCACATCGATGTTTCTCTCTCTCTCTCTCTCTTCCTCTCTCTCCCTCCCACTCTATCTGAACAAAATATGGAAAAATGTCCTCGGGTGAGGATAAAAAAAATAATAATAAAATTTAAAAAAGAAAGAAAGAAAACAGTTAAAAAAAATGGGGAAGAATTTTGGCTCTACACATGACTCCTCAGGAAAGGGGGATCAGGGAAGCATCACAATGTAAGTTGGAGAAGACTCTAAAAAGCCATGTGGGGCCCACCTGGTGTGGCTCAGTGGTTGAGCATCGACCCATGCACCAAGAAGTCCTGGTTCGATTCCCAGTCAGGACACATGCCAGGGTTATGGGCTCCATCCCCGATAAAGGGCATGCAGGAGGCAACCGATTGATGTTTCTCTCTCATGTCAATGTTTCCCTCTCTCTCTTTCTCTTCCTTCCTCTCTCTCTCTCTAAATCAATAAAATATCTAAAATTAATTAATTAATTAATCAAAAAGATGAGGAGGTTAGTTCAAGAGTCCCAAAGACCTGGGATTCAATCTCTCCTTTCTACTCTGTGAACTTAGAGAAGCTATTTTACCTTCTGAGCTCCCATGTACTCTCTTATGAAAGGGTATGGTGTGGAGAGTGTAGAAATGTGCCACTCACATCCTCTTTCCAGAAAGGACCCGTTGCTCAGATGCATGGAGTGTGGTTAGCAGACAGCCTCCTTTAGCATCTGCCTCATCTTTTGAGCCAAAGTCATGGTCTTCTTGTGGCAATCCTCAACCAATGACTGAGCAAGATGATAGCCAAGAGACCCTGTCCTTGGCCAATGAATGAGCAAGGCAGTGGTCCTAGGGCCTGGCTGTTTCTGTCTAAAGTGAGACTTCTTGAGTGGGTGATCTTTGCTCTGGACCTCCTGGCTGGCCCCTTGGAGACTTCATCAGGCTGCGTGATGTCAGATCTGATGGCTCCCTCTCCCTAATCTCACTCGCTCCCTTTGCCGTTCAAAGGTGTTACTTCCCAATAAAACGTAGTGCTCCTAACTCCATCTTAGAATCATCCTCTCTGGTGCTGCCACTGAATGATACCTCACTGGATTCTTGTCAAGAATAAATAAGATGGCCCTGGCCGGTTTGGCTCAGTGGTTGGAGTGTCGGCCTTCAGACCAGAGTCCCGGGTTCAGTTCCCACTAAGGGCACGTACCAAAAAAAAAAAAAAAGAAGAAGAAGAAGATGCTGGGTGAAAAACTAGCATGTGGGACATGGATAAGCTCTCAATATTCAATAATGGCAGTGACAATTATTCTACAGTGTTTAAGGCAAAAGGGAATGGTGCATGGGAAAATATTACAACTAGGCCCTGGCCTTGTAGCTCAGTTGGTTAGAGCATCATCCTGATACACCAAGTTTGCAGGTTTGATCTCTGGTCAGGGCACATACAAGAGTCAACCAATGAATGCATAAATAAGTAGAACAACAAACTGACATTTCTCTCTCTACCGGCCTCTTCCTCTCTCTCTCTCTCTCTTAAAAAAAAAAAAGACCTGGATTATTAAAAAAGAAAATATTATAAGAACTACAGAGTTTATGTAATTATAACCTATTTCTATTTTTACAACCCATAGAGTAGAGAAGTACAAGATAGAGAGGAAACTGCAGTCGCTAAAATGTATACACTGAAACCACAGCTATTAGTCAAAAAACTAATTCTTATTTTCAGAAAACCTCATTCTAATTACTAGAATGGTATGCTGTAAATTAAAAAACACAACACAGCGAATGTGATATTACAGTTTAAATGTTAACAGAGATTCTAACTTTTGCAACAAGAAATCGAAAGTTTCATCTTTTGTTGTTGGTGGTGGTGGTTAGAATCTATTTCTTGCATTAAATAATTGAGGCTGTTATGCTTTACAGTTTACAAATCAGATGAGGTTTAAAAGCTAAAAGTTGGTCCCAAATGGAAGACCATGATCAGTCAATATTAAAAACTTGTATACTCTCAATTAACTCTCTAATATATTTATATATATTTGGCCCTCAATGACTTAAATTTTTTTTAACTAGGCACATCATTAGATTCAAGCTAGTATGAGTATACATTACTAAAATAGGAAATAAGTATTTCATTATAAATACTAATTCCAGAAGATTTCACACCCACATCTAAAAACTAATTAGATTAATTTCCCAGGGCATGCAAGTATTCTTGGTAGCTTGCAATTTTTAAGTGTCAAAATAAAGCCTTATTTTTAAATGTGGGTGGTGTTGATGAAACAAGTATGAGTAATACTTGCAGGAAACACAATATTAGCTTTAGCTAGGGAGTGAGTGATACTTGAATGGTCCTTCAAAGAAGCACTTTCCATGTCGTGCAAATGTAAAACAAGAGTTATAATGTGGTCACCCGGTAAGCATGGACACTTACAAAACTGCCTTATGGTGCTTGAAATATAGCTTCACCTACCCAAAATGCAATTTTAGTAAATGTTCAGGATTAGCTCTGATGTATAAAGTGAGGGCAACAGGCTGATATGTAAATATCAACCACAAAATCGCCAGACCTCCCAGGTTATGTTTAATATTTACTAACCAGAAAAGACTGTGCAAAGCTTGTTTCAATGGAGAGGTAGGGATGTCAGAATTAAACTTGATTTAATCTGTCTTCCCAGGCAGTTCCGCTCTATTCACCATAGTTCCGGGAGTCATGTCTCCCCTGTTGGTCTTGCTATGTTGATCACAAACACAACTCTGAAGTGTTAAAAATAAAGAGCAGCAGAGAGCTCTGAACTGCTGTTAGTACGACACTCCATTCAGTATTCTGCAGTAAGAAGATATAATAAGAGGTAATTCTCCAAAACTTGAACTATTCATAGTCCATTACTTTAAAATTAAAAATAATCAGTTTAAGTTTTTAACACACTGTAAATTGTTCTTATATAAATACACACATACATATCAGGCATAAGCAGCATGAACAACAAACAATAAATAAATCTTCAAGCCCTAGTCTAAAGGTGAAAAAGATGCCTAGAATATTCATAGGCAGGGAGTCTATGGGAAATCTCTGGACCTTCCACTGAATTTGCTGTGAAGCTAAAAGCACTCTGAAAAGTAAAGTTTATTAAAGGAAAAGGTGCCTAGAATTATGCAAAATGTTTACAACTGCCAAAGTGTAGAAAGGTGTTAAAATTATTCTCCCATTACTTAAAAAAAGCAAATGTTAAAACAAAAGGGGGAAAAAGGATTCATTCATTTATTTAATAAATATTTATCAGACTCCTACTGTATGAGTCAGGCATTGTTCCCAGTATAGTGGGAGGTAACTCTTTCATTGCTGCCTCTTAAAAGTCCACACTAGCCCTGGCCGGTTTTGCTCAGTGGTTAGAGTGTCAGCCCATGGATCAGAGAGTCCTGGGTTCGGTTCCCACTAAGGGCACATACCCCGGTTGCAGTTTGTCCCTGGCCCTGGTTGGGGTCATGTGGGTGGCAACCACTCGATGTGTTTCTCTCACATAAATGTTTCTCTCTCTCTCTTCCTCCCTCTCATCCTCCTGCTCTATCTGAAGATAAATGCAAAGATGTCCTCTGGTGAAAAAAATAGTCCAAACCACAATCAATGTCACCATCATCAACACATTGTATGCCTGGCATTGTCCTAAAAGCACAGGTTAAAAAAAATTATGCCCAGTCAACTCAGGTGGTCTCTTACTGTGTTAACCAATATGTCTTATTCATATCTCTCTGTCCATTTTTTTGCTCTTAGTGTTCCGGGCGCCTCCATTTCTTATTAGTACCAAAATAAAGAAGTTAAGATGGCAGGGGCCCTGGCCAGGTAGCTCAGTTAAGTTGGTTAGAGCCTTGTCCTGATATGCCAAGATTGCAGGTTGGATCCCCAGTACGGGCACATACAAGAATCAACCAATGAATGCACAAATAAGTGGAACAACAAACCAATGTCTCCCTCTCTTTCTCTCAAATCAGTAAATAACAATTGTAATAAAAAGCTGACAGAGAAGCCTGGCTGGTGTGGCTCACTGGTTGAGCACGGACCCATGCACCAATAGGTCACCAGTTTGATTCCCAGTCAGGGCACATGCCCAGGTTGTGGGCCCAATCCCCAGTGGGGGGCATGTAGGAGGTGGCTGATCAATGTTCTCTCTCATGAATGTTTCTCTCTCCTTTCCTCCCTCTAAAATCAATAAAGAAAAATATTTTAAAAATAAATAAAAATTGTCCAGCTGGTGTGGCTCAGGGGTTGAGCGCTAACCCATGAACCAAGAGATTCCCAGTCAGGACACATGCCCAGGTTGTGGGCCCCACTGGGGGACAGGAGGAGATGGCCAACCAATGTTTCTATCTCCCTCTCACTTCCCCTCTCTATAATCAATAAAATTTTAAAAATAAATAAATAAATAAATAAAAATAAAAAGCTGGCAGAGAGGCCAGCAGGAGACAAAAGTACCTTCTGTCACCAAGTAATTTGCTAATTGCAAAGAGTAGAATGATTATGAGGAAAACTAAAATTTCCAATGGATTTAGTCACACTTCACATTAATAGTCAAGCCAATAAAAAGCTGAACTGACACTTCCATAACTTGTCACCTCTTTCTAATATGCAGATAAGAATAAAATCATTAAAATGTAAGAAATTCCTGCTTTGCCATTTCCCCAATGACCAGTCACAACTTCAACAAGTCAGTGTAACCTATTTACCCCTTTATCATTACTTTTTTTTTATTTTATTTTATTTTTTGTAATCCTCACTCGAGGACACTTTTTCCATTCTTTGTTCAGGTAGAGTGGGAGGGAGAGAGAGGAACAGAGAGAGAGAGAGAAACATCAATGTGAAAGGGACACATCAAGTGGCCGCCACCCGCACAACCAACCAGGGCCGGGGACAAACTGCAACCAAGACATGTGCCCTTAGCGGGAATCGAACCTGGGTCTCTCAGGACCGCAGGCCAATGCTCTATCCGCTAAGCCAAACCGGCCAGGGCTATCATTACTTTTTAAATAAAGTCTTGAGTAAATTCATTTGGTTCTTTTTACAAACAAATGTAAATCTCTCTTTTGATTCTGATGTTATAAGCTAGAGTTAAGACCTACTTTGTATGTGTTTACTGAAATATGTGGCTATCCTTCAATATACATAATGTGACTTGGATTCAGATTAAAAGGCAATGTTATGAAGAGTTTGTACAGAAACAATGTTATTGTGACCTAATCCCTTTAAAACAGCCATTTACACTGTGACCTGATACAAAATAGCCCCAATTTAAATACAAACTAAGCCAAATAAAGTTATTACAAATTATGGGTTTTGAGTCCATTTTTATAAAACTTTTTTTTTATGATAACTTCATGACATTACCTAGAATATGAAAGTATACTCCTATACAAGAGGGGGAGGAGATCACACGCGAGAGAGCGAGAGCGAGAGAGAGAGAGAGAGAGAGAGAGAGGTTTTATTCCCTCTACAAAGCAGGATGTGGCTAAAGAGTAAGCCTTTCATGTAAAGTGCACATTAGAAACCTGTAGATTTTAAAAGCCTATATGGACTTTGACTAAAGTCCTAAAATGTGTGTACACCTGATGGTATTTGTGAAGGTCTATAAAAGCTGCAACCTCCTGTTACAAGTAGCTCATTGCCACCCAAACCATAGCTCTGTCTCTCTCCATCGAGAAGCATAATTCTGCCAAGTTAGGCTTGAGCTCCCCCATCATTATCCCATTACACATGTGCACCATCCCAAAGCCACCATTCAAGGAAAACCCTCAATCACTGCCCTGGGCTGGGCTACCAGCACTACCCAGCACACCGCACCTCCCTGAATCTCTCACCACTGTAGAACTGGAGCTTCTTTTCAGAACCCTTCATTACTCCATTAAAAAATAATTCTCAAATACTAATAAAATAAGGCAACTGAAAACAGACATTTTGTTGTCCTCATACTTCTTGGTATTTCATCTTAAAACTCAGATTTTTTTGCACTCCTCTTATTAGTGCAAATAAATATGTTCATTCCTTTCCCTCCATTAAGCTCTAAGCCACTCCACAGCAAGGGCCAATACTCTAGCAAAAGCCTTAAGAAAAAAAAAAAAAAACTCTTCACTGACACATACTTGCATATATACAACTGCTAACTGACTCATTCTTCCTCATAAACTTACCAAGTGAAAAAAATTTTAAGTAGTTTACACACCTCTCCCTTGGAAATATTTTCTCGTTAGTTTTATCGTAGAAAACTTCAAGCACATGCAGTAGAAAGCATAGTACTAGGAGCTCTCCTGTCCCCATCACCCAGCTTCCACAATGACCTGCTTTTCTTTCATCAACATGCCCATCCACTACCACCCCAACTTCTTTTGAAGCAAATCAGAGACTTCACATCACTCATATATATTCCAGTTCCCATTTATTTTCATCAGCTCCTTGCTTTTGCCTTCCCTCCCACCCCTCCACCCCTAAAAAAGAAGAGTACAGAATAATGCAGGCGGTGGGCCTTGTTCATCATTTCCTTTCACGGACACCTCCCTGCTCCTGGATCACCTTCGATAACATTCACTAACATCACTGTGAAATGCCCACCAGTGTGTTCAGTCCATTTAACCACAGCCTAATTCACTTAGAAAGATATTGTAGTTTTCCCCCTGAGAATCCCTTTCTCTTGTTGGAACAAGTGGAAAAAAAGTCGTGCCAAGATGTCTATTCTCTTGGTAAAAATTACTTCTGATTTGTTCCCCCACCCCAAAGAGAGAGGGGAGCAAGAATAGAAGAGGAAATAAGTACATCTAGAATAGTAGATTGTGCCTAATGAGGTTTGTGCAGATATTTAAAACCATCTGTTATTTTATGTTTAAAATGAATATTTGTAAACATCGGCCAAAATTTCCGGTTCCTTTAGACAGAGGATGTTTATAAAATAAATTATCGTAATTCAAGGGGGCTATCGCCTTCAGGATTTTGGTTAATAACAGTAGCTGCTTCTGAGCCTAAGGAATGGTTATGTAAGAACAATCAAAGCCAAAAAATAATAATAATAACTAAGGGAGGATGCGCTCTGTTTCTATAGCTCTAACCTTGCTTTATTCTGAGGTGACATTTCTTGGCCTCAGCTCAGCTGGAAACCACCAGCCCACACTTTCTCCTCCACACCCTTTCCAGATGGAATTCTGAAAGGAGGCACTTTGGAGCTCATCATGGGAAATGTCTCGGCTTGAGAGCATTTCAGAGCAATAACTGAGATTTCATCCACTCCTCCCTCTGGACACGGACTCCCATCGCTTCCAGTGATTTCCCCAGGAATCCAGAGGGAGACAGGGAAACAGGCTCCATTCCGCACCCCACAGCCTGTCCTCCGGGCATGGCCTGTGCGCTGCCCGGCACCCCCTGCTCGCCCTGGTGCGGGGACACGGGGCTTCCAGGCACCACGCCCCGGGTTTACCCGCCGCACCCCCAGGTGAAGGGCCCCTCGCCACCAGCCAGCCTTCCCCACTTTCAACTGCTTCCTCTGGGCAGTTACAGAATGAAGACCCCGCGAATGCCTCTTCCCGAAGTGATCGCCCCTCACCCCGACTCCCCTCCAGGCCAAACGCCGCAGCCCCAACCCCAGACCCGCTCAGGGTCTGGGCTTCCCACCAAGAACTACAAGTGCGCCCCACACCGCCGCAGGTCAGAAGTCCCCCGTCTCCGGGAAGTCCCCCTCTCGCCCCCGCGACCCCCAAAGCCAAGACGTGGGACCTCGTCGCGCCAGGCCGGCCCGCCCCTTCCCGCGGAGAAACAGCCCTGGGCGCTCGGGCAGGGCGCCCCGGGAAACAGCGCAGTC